AGATGCAGTGCATCTCAAAAATGCTTGTCAAGTCCAGAACTGAATTCAAAATCTTACTTCTAACCTACAAAGCTCTCAACAACCTAGCTCCATCTTATATTACAGATCTTATTGTTCCATATTTTACTAACAGAGCACTTCACTCTCAGACTGCAGGTTTACTTGTGGTTCCTAGAGTTTACAAAAACAGAATGAGAGGAAGATCTTTCAGTTCTCAGGCTCCTCTCTTGTGGAACCAACTTCCAGTCTCTGTCCGTGAGGCTGACACATTGTCCAGTTTAAGACTGGGATTAAGACTTTCTTTTTTCATAAATCCTAAGGAATCCAGCAGACAAGTTGAATCTTGGCTTTGTTGCAGTCTCCCATCCTGAGCAAGCACAGTGGAGACAGTGGAAAGAAAAACTCCCTTTAACAGGAAGAAACCTCCAGCAGAACCAGGATCAGGACAAGAGACCATCTGCTTTGACCGGCTGGTTGAGAGGACAGGAAGGAGAGACAGACTAACACAGAATGGTAGGTCCAGATATAGGTCCAGGTCCAGATATAGGTCCAGGTATAGGTCCAGGTATAGGTCCAGGTCCAGGTATACTGTAGGTCCAGGTATAGGTCCAGATATAGGTCCAGGTCCAGGTATACTGTAGGTCCAGGTATAGGTCCAGGTCCAGATATAGGTCCAGGTGTATCTGAAAGACAAAAACATGTTAAGGATAGAAAAAATAATTACAAATACAAAACAGGTTGAGCAGAGTAAGTAAAGACAGCAGCAGAATGAAAAGTGAGGTCAGTTTGTCCTCCAGCAGTCTAAGCCTATAGCAGCAGAACTAAGGGACAGCTCAGGAAACCCAAGCTGACCCTAACTATAGATAGAGAACTTTACTAATTGGCTTTTATGTTTGTGAATGTTTCTGTAAAGTCCCTGAGACAACTTTGTTGTGATTTGGCGCTTTATAAATAAACTGAATTGAATTGAATTAATGATCCATTGTTAGGCTGATGGTCCTTCTTGAGCATGTGATCAGCTGGTTCTGGTTGTCAGCAGCAAACTGGTTGATCCACCCTGAGAAGGTGCTATTTAAGAGACTGAGCTGAAAACAGCTCCTCAGACTGAGGAAGTCCTCAGGATGAGAGACAAAACGTTTCTACATTTTTTTGCTTTGTTTTGTTTTTTGAATGTCCAGAGGACCAGATTTAACTTTTTTGGATTTTTCTACCTGGATTATTGAGCATGCATCAGGATAGTTTAATCAAATGTTTACAGATGTTGAACAACCTGTTAAAATACACCAAAATGCAAGAAATGGTATCTCTTTTATTACAAATTTTCTGGGGGAGGACCCACGGTTTTTGTTTAAACCAGGTCTCTCTTGTAAATGAGTCTCCGAGGCTCAATGGGATTTACCTGTTTAAATAAAGGTTGAATGAAAATATTACTGCTGATAGCTCCAGATGCTAAAATCTACAGCTGCTAACAGCTACTGATGCAAACAGCTACAGCTGCTAATACCTATAGCTGCTAATAGCTACAATTGGTAACATCCACAGATGCTAACAGCTACAGCTGCTAAAAGCTACAGGCTCTAACAGCTACTGATGCAAACAGCTCCAAAAGCTAACCATGAAAGTTTCAATAGGAGGCAGAGCTTAAAGACCCATGTGACCAGAACCATCAGAAAAGAGGAAATTAAGTCAAGTAGGTATCTCTGCAGGCAAATGAACACAGAGAGGATGAGGAGGAGGAGGAGGAGGAGGAGGAGGAGGAGGAGGAGGACGTCCCTAGGGACTCACCCTGTCCTCCCCTCCTCCCTCTCCTCCTGCTGTTGCTGCTGTCAGCGTCTCCTCAGCCCGTCCATCGATCGGTCCACCAAGACAGCAAAGAAGTTCTTCATCTGGAGGTGAGTCCACGTTCTGTCCCAACACAGATTCAGAGCAGAAACATCTGTTTGATGGGAACTTAATGAGCTGCAGCTGATTAAAGTCCGCAGCTGAAAACTGACAGGAACTACTCTTTCAAAATAAATGACTGCATGAAGTGGGCCATTAATGGAAAGTTTTATATCTCAGAAAGTTTCTGCAGAAAATTGTAACTTTGCATCTACAGATTAACTAAAACAGCTGCATGCTGGTGATAATTAACAGCTAATTAACTGAAAAATAACAATTAATTAACAGCTAATTAACAGCTAAAAATGATATTTCCATGGTTATGCTTCTAAGTGATTGTCATAGTTTGAAAACTGCTGATTAATTAACTACAATTGCTAAAACCTTTGATGGTATCTGTATTTGAAATGTGTTTATAATCATAAACCTGTAAACAACATGAACATGTACAGAACATGAACATGTACACGACAAGAACATATAAACAAAATGACCATGTAAACAACATGAACATGTAAACAACATGAACATGTACATAACATTAACATGTGCACAACATGAACATGTGCACAACGTGAACATGTAAACAACACTAACATGTACACAACATGAACATGTAAATTGCATGTAAACAACATGAA